TGCAGTTGTTTTCCTATTGTGAGCTGAGTCGGGACATGTTTTCCCCCAGCTTTTCATTTTACCTGTTAGTTTCTTTCCTGCATTAACTCTTGTTGACACCTGCATGGTGGAAGACTCACTGCATGTTCTCCTAACACAACAGAGGGGAATGCACAGACTCCCTGAGGACACGCATTCGGGAGCTGGAGTCTGAGTGCAAGAAGCTTTCCCACGATGTCAAATTTAAAGAGGAGCAGCTTCGAGAGCTTGAGGGCAAAGCGCAGGTGAGCTGCAGGCATTTCACCACTAAGGACTTGTCTGGTCCACTTTTTCCTTGAAGAAAAACAAAGAATACAGCATTAGATGGTGCGTAAACTGCAGATATTGCTATGTCAGTTCAAGACTGCCTATGAATATTGCTGAATATTACTGTATAAAACATGCCCTCTTCAGTCGAACATTAGGGGGGGAGACTACATTCTGGACAACGTAATTGGCTGAGTTCCCATTAGAAATGGATTTAAGAGCAGAGTTCACTACTTTGTAATGTGACAAAGTGATTTACTTAAGCATTCCCATCTCAGCATGTTGAGGCAGTTGGCAGTGGCTTTATTAAATGAGTCAGATAGCTTCAAACATGTCTGAAGAAGCCTATGCACTTACCCCCTCATGAATTGGTAGTGTTATTGAAAGGGAGCAAGGCATGGACATAAAAAGATGTAATAAAATTCTCATGTGTTTCTCCATGTCTCTGCTCATCCTTCCTCTTTCCACTCTGCCTGACAGGAGCTGCGCAAGTATAAAGAGAACGAAAAAGATACAGAGGTTCTCATGTCTGCGCTATCAGCAATGCAGGATAAGACCCAGCACTTGGAGAACAGCCTGAGTGCTGAGACCAGGATCAAGCTGGACCTCTTCTCAGCGCTGGGGGATGCCAAGAGGCAGCTAGAGATTGCACAAGGTTACACTTCCTCTCTGTTTTTTAACATTCAGTGTCATTTATTGCTCTCTTGCCTGATACGCTTTCACACAAATACACACCCAAACACAGTAGAGATTTAGTCAGATCTGAAATTTTTAACTGACCCTGATTATAGACAGAGAACATTCTCTGCCCAAGTGTGACCCCGACCTGACAGTACCAGTTTTTGAATCTGCAGATTGAGGAAGAGCTCAACTATAGGTCAAAATATTCTGTCCCAAGCAGACCATAGCCTGACCAAATTCTGTCTAAACCTGACTGTAGACCTACAGAATTCTGTCTGAGCCCGACTGCAGCCCGACTGTGTTCTGTCTGAACCTGACTGAAGACCCACAAAATTCTGTCTGAACCCGACTGCAGCCTGACCAAATTCTGTCTGAACCTGACTGTAGACCCACAAAATTCTGTCTGAACCCGACTGCAGCCTGACCAAATTCTGTCTGAACCTGACTGTAGACCTACAAAATTCTGTCTGAACCCGACTGCAGCCCGACTGTGTTCTGTCTGAACCTGACTGAAGACCCACAAAATTCTGAAGACTGAAGACCCACAAATTCCGAACCCGACTGCAGCCTGACAAGATTCTGTATTAACCCGACTGTACCCCTACAGACTTTTGTCTGAGCCTGACTGAAACCAACACATTCTGTCTGAACGCGACTGTAGCCCAAATGAACTCTCTCTCTCTCTCTCTTTCCACTAACAGGAAATACAATTTCCAGTAGAGCATTACATTCCTAACAGTAGCATCTGTTAAGCCTTGTCAACATCCATGCCTCCCAAACAAACGACCCCAGTGTGCCTTAAAAATTGTAGGATGCAAGAACTAATATCTTTTATTTAGGGAAAAAAATTAAACATGACAAATGTTTTTGTGCGCAGGTCAGATCCTGCAGAAGGACCAGGAGATAAAGGAGCTGAAGCAGAAGATAGCAGAGGTCATGGCCGTCATGCCCAGCATCACGTATTCAGCCGACACAAACAACATGACCCCTGTCACGCCTCACTACTCGTCCAAGTTCATGGACACCAGTCCCTCCAGTCTGGACCCCAACGCCTCCGTATACCAGCCACTGAAAAAGTGAAAGCTTTCCCCTCCCTGCCCTCCGTTTTGTCCTCTAAACTGACCAGGCTCAGTATGTGTACCTCTTAAGAGTGTTTTTACACCCCCTCACCCCTCTCAGTAATCTGTTCTCTGTTGTTGGTGAAACAAAAGGAGGAAAAGATAGGAAAAAAAGGGATGTTATGCTGACTAAATTTGCCCAGTTTGGATTTTAGGATTGTTTTGTAAAGCTATCAGAAAGCTCAGCCAAACTTTTTCCGCAGTTAAGCCACTACAGTCTGTGGCGCTTATGCGTCTCCTCCCAGTTCCTCTGTTCAGGTGTTTCTACCTTTCCCCCCACTTTTGTGTTAAACATAAGGAATTTTAAGTGCCAGAGGAGAGGCGGGATGTTTACTTCATGGCAAGTTTAATGAATGTAAAAGAAAAGCAAATATTATTTCACGTTTGGTTCTTTTATTACCATGAGATGAGAGTATTCCTGACTGAAGACACAATTTGTTTATCCAGATGCTGTGATTGTTGAAAGAGCATGTTTCGGTTCAGTTATGACGATAGTATTGTAATTCTTTCAGTGTGGATCAGAAGTTGCGATTGGTTTCGTATTATTCATGTTTGAAAATTGAAATGCTCCGTTCTGCCCCGACGCTGTCTGACAAGTCCATAGTTCACCTGCGTTCCCAACACGGCGATGCCAAAGTTGAGGAAGAGGTTCAGAAGAGACTGATCGTGATGTTGTATTCATTGATTATATGCTGCATAAATATTTGAGAATGTTGTATTTTGCGGTCAGTGCAAATCCTCTTTATTACTGGACCAAATTAAAATAGTTTAGACAATATGCAGAGAGCTGAACATACACAGTGTGGGTAGCTGATCTTTCCAGTCATTTTACGCAGTGCCTTGAATCTTTTCAGTTTAAAATACTTCACACAACAACCCGGATGATGTCCTCCCTCGATCAGCTCGTGCCCATTCTTTTTTCTTTCAGTAGCGGTACTTCTGTTCAGCTTCTCTCATGTGTTTTATTTGGCCGTGAGTTATAGATGTCATACAGTGATCACTGAAATCAGGCTTACTTTTGTTTCAGTGAACAGTGGTCCTCCAAATCTACGCTTGTTTACGACTTGTTTACGACACTGTAAAAGTAAAAAAAGCTTGCTGAATGTTTTCATTTCAGTAAAAAGTGCCAAGTACGGTCCCATCAACACCACCACCACCACCATCGTTATCATCACCTCAGAGGTAGAGATATCCATAGACAATAGCTTAAGTTACATTTGACAAATGCGCTGTATGTGTCATCTTAATAGTGCTGGCAAGATTGGCCTCATCTGTCACTTAAAAATCAGCCCACTTTATGCTATTCACATCCTTCACGTTTTCTTAAATGATTGCTCTGAAATTTGCATCATGCAACAAGCTTGTTTGGATTAGATCTTGTTTTGCAACAGGGATGATTTGTCAAATGTTGAATTTTTACTGTTCCCCTGACTGAAAAGTATTTCTGTGGATTGCAGTGGCGTTGTTTTGGGGTCTTTTTTGTAAACTTTGTGAAGAGTAAAGAAGAAAGCAGTTATTTCTCGTTTGCTGTCCATTTTTTTTCTTTTAAAGTTGACGTGAACAGGAAATCCTGACAGATTTTCCTACTTTCCTCACCTATTTGTGAGTGAAATATGGTATCAGGGAGGGTCTCTCAGCTGGCTGAGCCTTTTCTCTCAATGATTGGTGTATTGGGGGGGGGTTAATATTTTGCCCGCCTACTGGTGCAAAGTCATGTAATCAAAACTCAGAAGATGGTTTAGAGATGGGCAAAATTAATTATATTACAGTCAGCGATTATGGAGAAACTAGAACTTTGTTCTTTGAGTGATATATGATCTATCATGCTCAATATGACGAGGCAGATAAACTAACAAGGTAAAAAAAAATCTATTTTAATTTCAGGTTGGCTTAAAGATAGCGGTGCATACAGATTTATGGTCAAAGAGTATTTTAATGTCCACAGTCTAGTGAAAAACTGAGGCAGCAAGTTTGCATTTTAAACCATATTGATCTTCAAACAACAAAAATGACTCTTTTCGTGTAAACATAAAGAAAAACGTTAGAAATCTGTTGATTGCCCCGAATTCAGACTCAAGATACAACATAGAAACTATTTGACATTTCTGCCTGTGTCAACATGATTGTGTTTCCAGTAGCCACATGGGGGTGACATGGCCCACATTTAGAGGATACACTGAATTCTGGAAATTTGCAGCAAGAAATAGAAAATAAACATTTACTGGCGCATTCCAAACACCGTATAAGAACTTATTTGTCTCAAAGGGACGTTCCATGCATTTTTCAAAATTTCTGCATAATGCAGTCATTCAGATTGCATGAAAAGTCATTCAGAGTGGTTTGATGTGGTTCATTGTAAAGAAACATACTGACTCAGATTTCTTTACAGCGGTGGTGATAGAAACCAGGGGTTGCAAAGTCTACAACACAGATACACCCATTTTGTTTACTATCCGACAGAGCCAGTGAACCTACACGTCTTCTGAGATTTATTTGTTGATGATAAAATAAATGTTCTTTGGCAACTATTTTGCTTTACAACCCCCAGCATGTACTAAAAGTAATCATGAAATACTAGAATACAGATTATAGATAAAAGCTTTGTCACAAAACTGTCATATAACTCATTTCTTAGGCAGTGTAAACTTTCCGTGATTGAGCTTTTAGTGGCATTGAACACTTCAGACGTCTGGTTCCTATCACCACCACTGTGAACACTTCTGACTCAGCAAGTTTCTCTAGAATGGAGTATTTCACATCAAACCAATCTGAATCACTCCATTGAATCATGCATATATTTAAAAAAAATGGTGGACTTTCCCTTTAAACGTTGGGAAATGAGGAATGTGCAGCCAGGAGAGGGTTAATATGAACCTTTTTTCCTTGATTGACAGCTGTAGCTCCGCCCACTCGGAGGCTGAAGTTACAGATATCTTGAGCATCAAAACAACAAAGTTGACGGAGCGGCTGGCCGCGTTTAGTCGGACGGGGTTTGCTGAGTCGGGCGCTTTTAGGGTCTTTCAGCTCCAGCTGTTTTTGTTTTTTGTCAAGATTTGGGATGGACGTGCTGAAATCGGCCGGAAGAGCTCTGCGCAGTCCGAGTCTCAGCAAACACCACAGTGAGTAACTCCAACACAAAGTCAGTTCACATCAGCGAAAAGAGGGTCAGCTTCCAGTTTTCCCGTTCCACCTTAAATGGTGCAGCAGTTGCAGTCTGGCGCCTGAGAAAGTTTAACTACACTATTTAAGGTGGAACGGGAGAATTCGAACTAGAAGCCGCGAATAAGTAGCCAAGCTCAGCCTCGTATCAGTGCAAGTTCATTCTGTGTGTACTGTGAATCAGGCTGAAGTCGTTTTTCTTTCTTTTCGTGTTTTACTTGCTTACTTTTGTCTTTCATTGTGCATTTAACTCGTGTCTCATTTCTCTCTTTATTTTCATTTCTCACATCTTTAAAAAGTTCGTGTTTACGTTTTATAGACGAGGCTGAAGTTATGTTCATCCGCTGCTTATTGGATTGGAATGTTCAGTTCCACCTTAAATTTAACTCATGTTCTGGCGCCTGTTCGCTAACTGCTGCGCCATTTAAGGTGGAACGGTTCGTTTATAGAGAGAGACACACAGCAGACACGAGTTCACCTACAAACTCCATCTGTCCTTTTCAGAGCTGTGCTGTGCCCCTTAACCCCTTAACTGTGACCTTACATCCTTTACATGTGTGTTTTACGAGTATTGCAGATGGAAACACACCGGTTAGCTTTTACATTCACTCCATCATCCTAACTGTTCACTGCTGCCTTTTGGTTTTAAAGGTCTGTGAAGTTTTTAACTCTTTCTCAGTGTTTCAGAAACTGTGCCTTGTACTGCTAAAGCAAACATGTCTGACTGTGACCTGTGACAGTAGTGGTTTATACAGTCACCTGCCAATTTTAAAGTGCTTAACAAGCAGGTGAGGCCTACAGTCATGTGCAATTTCCAAAGTAAACCTTTAGCTTGTTTTACTGAGCCTATAGTCTGGCTTATGGCAGTGCTCAGTAATGTCACCCTCAGAGTAGAGTTTAATTACGGAGGTAATTAATTCATGTTAATTCCAGCAAATTGTCATAATCTGTACATAATTCAGAGTGTTTTGATGTGAAATCCTGTATTCTAGAGTAACTTACTGAGTAAGAGTCACCACAGTGGTGGGGATGGGAACCTAGGGGTGGGCAATATGGTAATATTTTATCGTTATTGTGATAAATTATGTGAAGATGCTTTTCTGAGCCTGTCCTGGATATCGCCAGTTCTTACAGAACGCTGACTAACTACGTTTCATTATAAGTTGAGCATAATTAGGCCTGTTTAATTGGATTTAGTGCAGTGTAGTGTGTAAAATATTAAATAAGAATAAGAATAATATTGTGATAGTTAATTACTGTGTATCGTAAAATGCCTTGAAGTATCATGATGCTATTTTTTACCATATCGCGAACCTTATGAGAACCAGACATCCAAAGAGTTCATTGCAAGCATTAAGAGATTATTTCTGCCCATTCACAGAAATCTATCACATGAAATGGTTATGGATATGCGTCTTGAGACATTGTTATACGATCATTTTAAGATATGTTTTTTTTTCTTCAGATTTACCACTATTACCACTACCTATTTTACCATCATCAACATTGCATATAAAAACTCAGAAGACGTGTAGCTGCACTGGTGGTTTTGGATAGTAAATAAAATGGCTGTATTTGTGTTGTAGACTAACTGATCAGTAAGTTTGTCTACAGTGAATCATTTCACATCAAACCACTCTGAATGACTTTTACATCTCATCAACCAAGTTATGCAGAAATTATGAAAAATGGTTGGACTTCTCCTTTAAAGGATCATTCTGTGCAGAATCATTTATACATTTAAAATACATCTAATCGTTTATACTCTGATCTTGTATTGTGAATGTACTTCGGTGGTGTATGCTAGTCTGTGGATGTGTGTCGCACTACTTCTTACAGTAACTCTGCTTTCATGGTCCCCCATGTCTGTTTAGTAAAGAGGGGCAGCTCACATGAATTACTGTAAGTATTGAGACTAGAAACTTCTGCACCTACAGTGTGGGAGCCCCTCGGCTCTGGCTGATTTGTGACTTTTTCCTGAGGGGAACAGTGGGAACTTAAGAGCGCTCTTGACCCCATAAGAGCCCTTTAGAGGTTTAGAGGACTTAACACCATGACGACAGACTGGAATGCCTACAGAAGGAATTCTAAGACTTGTCGTTCAAGTTCACAGCCAAGTTCAAGCACAGCAAAGTGCCCTGCGTTTGTGAAGAACAGAGAATTTGACTCTGTATTTGTAAGCTCTGAAAAGTGAGCAGTGCGTAAAGTCCGCTGTCTATAGTACATTACTCACTCATTATTGTATCTATCCCTGCCATATCCACACATATACTTTGTGTACATACTAGAGGTGGGTCATTATCTTTATATATTTAAATAGTCTTGAAAGTTTAAAAAATATTTTTTGGATTTTTGATACACAAACAAGCCACTTTTCCAATTTACTAAATCTCAGAAAAACAAAATATTGTGATACATATTGTGTATCATGAAAATGTCTTGAAGTATCGTGATGTGCAGTTTTTAACATATCGCCCACCTCTATGAGAACCAGAGGTCCAAAGGTTTATTGCAAGCGTTAAGATTATTTCTGCTCCTACTATATACTAGTACACATACTACTACGTAGTCCTGCATGTACTAGAGGTGGGTCAGAGTTTAAAAATATTTGAATAGTCTTGGAAGTTTAAAAATAATTTTTTGCATTTTTGTTATGCAAACAAGCTACTGTCTGCTGTTATGCGTTCTCAGCATAGAGCCATGAGCTGTCTGAACTCCTCTAGACAGCAGCGTACAGCCCGCATCTCACGTTTTAGTCAGAGTTTCTTTTCTGTTCGAAGAAGAAAGCAAAGAAAGACTGCTGCAGCCGTCTAAAGTTTGCCACACAACGGAGAAGAAGCTCCGAGCTACACCAGCAGAGGGTGGCAGATAGTACAAGACACAGTTATAGCACATATAAAGTGTTGCAAAAAGCATTGATTATTATGTTTAGTATCAGGTACCTCACTCTTTAGAAGTTCAGGTAAAATATGAAGAAACAGAACAGAGTTAGAACGAAAAGCTGCTGAATAAGAAGCCAGTTTCAGCCTTGTAAAAATTCAGACGTGAATTACTATTTTTCACAATAAAAATATTTCAGATTTACTTTGGTTGTTAAAAATGGTTCCTATTTGAAAATGTATGTATGCTGTGATGTGTATATACCCAATCGGTCAGAAATTTTAATGATAAACATTTTTGGCCATACCACCCACCACTACTTAACATGTGTCTGTAAATCTTATCCCTTGTGTGGTGTTGGGGTCCGTTGGGGACCCGTTTTCAATGTTTACCGAAAGACGAAATTATGCTATTTATTATTATTTCAACCTCAGATTTCTTGGCCTTTGCTTATTTTCTGTGAAGAACATATAAACTCATAACACATTTTCAGTGTCTTCACACTGTAAACCCCCCACACATTTATACTACACATGTGGTGTTGGGTGAACCCGTGGGAATGATAATGTGGAGGTGCTGTGTCCCTCACTCTGTTCTTCTCCTACATGGCCTGCTGTTAGTGTGTGTGTGTCTTTGTGTGTATGTGTTTGTATATGTGTGTATGAGGGTGGACAACATGGAGAGGCTGCTGATTGGCTACAGCTGCTAAAGGAGAACCCTACACTGGCCACTTGTGATATTTTAAACATCTGGTATTTTTACATAAATTGTTGTGGCTGTTTTGATTTAAAAAAAACAATAATGCAGTGGGTCCACCAGACCACTGAGTAACAAACACATCAACACCACACAAGGTATAAAGACTTCAGATTGACCTCTTTCTCAGTGTAAATTACAAGCCATATGTCATCAATGGATTTGTGGTCTGGTCTGTATTTAATATATAAACATATGTTTATCTGGGTATAGGGGGGCTGTATGATGAGCAGTTTTATAAATAACTGTGCTGTCCCGTCGCTCTCACTTGGGGAAATAGTTTGGTCAGAAATGACAATGTGGCTAATAAGGGATGAAACTGGATAGTCACCATTAGCATTATGAAAATGACATCATTGGTAGCTAGTGACTTGCGTTCAGAGTCAGCAATATTATCATCTATGATTGATTCCTTTAACGCCAGACCCCCTCTAATACCTTTACATCAAATAACAGGCCAGAACGTCTTGTGCGTTGTTCATGATGATTCACCTTGGCACACTTTTTAATTACGTCCCTTCTCATTTCACGTGCCACTCAGCCATCATCTTATAGAAATAATTTCTCATTAAGGTAGGAGGGGGTGAGTGTCCTTCAAAAGCTCCAAAGTCACACGCCTTAAATGAGAAACTGTAATGCTTGCAGCAAACATGGCTACTATATAATGAAGAGTGACTGGAGTAGACTTTTTTATGGTGCTTTATAGAGGTACGATTTATAGCCAGTACCTTTGGATCTCTTGTGTGTCGGTGTCCTGCTCATACTAAACAGGTGGACCGTCTGATGCAGATGGGAGAGATGCACCGGCAGCACACGGCCAGCAGCTGTTCAGGCTTTTCCAACTGCCTCATTTTCTAAAAGGCCATTCACTAATTGACTGCTCTTATTTCAAGACTAGCGTTGACTAGTGTGTGTTTTTGTGAAATGATGTCAAGTCTCTGTCTGCATTTTTCTCTTTTTTCCCCAAGAACCTGCTTGTTTGTATGGTTTTATGTACCAAAGTCATTTCTACATGACCATTTTCTGCCCTCTCTTCATCCCTAACAATTAAACAGGCTGTTTTTGTGCCTGACTGTGCGCCATTTTTACATGATCATTTTCCAACTTTTCTGGTTAAACAGATTGTTTTTGTTGCTCTGCCTTTAAGACTGATGCATGTAAATAAGAGTGATGCATGTATTGCATCTGATTTAAAAAGCACTCCAGGCTGAAACACTCTTTATAACTTCATTGTGGAAAGCCTTCCCAGAAGAGCTGAAGCTGTTATACCTTCAAAGGGTGGGCCGACATCATATTAAACCCTATGGATTAAGAACGGGATGTCACTCAAGTTAATATGCGTGGGAAGGCAGACGAGCGAATACTTTTGGCAATACATTGCATGTTTTAAAGCTTTAGCAATGTTTACATACTACTTCTTTGAAAAAAATAAAGAAAATTTCCATGACAAGGGTCCTTTAAGATGTGTATATGTAAATCTCTGCTGTTCTGATTGACTGACTCCTTCGCATGCGAAATGAGGCACACTGCATTCAAAAAGCAGTCTGTACAGACGAATGTACTGAGCAAACCAATCTGAAAAAGTGAACTCAGTCACCCTTTTTGCATGTCTGGATCCTTTGAAAGGCTGTAATGGTGCATTTTCTTCCTGACAGACAGGAACAGTACAACGTTTAATCGTTTTCCCCACATCTTCCACTCCAATAACTATGCTACAGATTGCAGGAACAACACTCTATCACTTCAGTGTGAATGAAGGGGGCTTAAACCGCTATAGGCTGAGTGGGTGGTCCCATGCAAACATGCTCATAATTGTGACCTGAAACTTTTATTAAAGAAAATTAAACGATTCAGGACTTCTTGAAATGAGACTCCATTGAATTATATTAGTTCAGTTTACATCAAAACTCACATTTGACAGAGTTCTTTACTTTTACAATATGTGTGAGACTGCAAAACAAATCCCTCACTCTAAGCTGTGTCTACAGGGGTTAATCCTAGCATTCCAAGCGTTCCTAAGTTTCTAACTAACTGATATCCTTTTATTGTTTGTATTATGAAGTTTGGGTTGTTTCCTGACTCGAGGTATTTCCTGTTTAATTTAATCTGAACAAAGATAGCTCAAGGGGTCAAAATGGTCGTTGGTCAAAACCTTCAGAAACTTTATGAAACTAATTAAAATAACCCCCCTTAAATATGTTCTGATATCCTTGCAGTCTCAGCCGTGCAGAGTACAGCACTGCAGTGTAGAGGAAGTTTGTAAAGTCAGAGTCTGTCCGGTCTGGACCATTGGTCACCCCACCCTTGCGTGCTTCTCAATGATAATCATTCAAATAAAGTAGAGGTTCCCACAGTGATTAAGGGCTTCTGGGTGTCCCACTAATCAGTATTTAGTGAGATTGCCTATCACTCTGGCCGTGTTATTATGCCCCTCTTTGTTTATGAGCTTCTGAGAAGGCCTCCCAGCTGTGGAGGACTATCATCAATAATCTCTGCACAGGATATATTATTTCTAGAGGTGTAGGCTGGCAAATTATACAGCAAAGTCTCCTCTCCAGACCCTTAAATCACTATTGGAAATTTTGGGGCTAGTGAAGGAGCATAAGTCATACGTCTTTTCCTTCATAACCTTTCTCTCTATCTATATCAATCAGTGTCAGAGGAAGCCACAGTTGAGCAGTTAGTGTGAACCTTCTTATTCTCAGGTTACTCTAGGTTTTGTTTTCTGAAATGCTGTCAGCTGCCAAAAGTGGTGGCAACTGGGAAAAAAATACATATATATATATATATATATATAAAAACATTTTTTTTTCCAGTTGCCACCACTTTTGGCAGCAAAAAAAATAATATATTAACAGGAGACCAGGAGAAGGAAGAGACATGCTTTACTTTTAATGTAAGTCAGTGGAACCAGAGATTTTTCTCACGTGATTTTGGGCCATTTATTTTGGTCCATTCATCATGAAATTTACACACAATATAAAGGACAGCAGGCATTTTCAAATTATAACAAAATCTGAAAAAATACAAGGTTTTGTTCCAACAGCAGCGAGATATATAGTTATAAGGCGAGTAAAAGTGTTTATAAGAAATGTCATCAAAATCATTTCTTGGTGAATCAATCTCAGACATTCCGGACGTGACAGGCTTTTGTGCTTGAACAGCCGTCATATTCACAACTCATAAACTCGGGATACTAGATGACGCTCGAGTTTACGAGATGTGACGCACAACTTTTAACTTTTTACACAAGTTAAAAACTTTACACTTGCAGTGAATGTAAAAAAAAATACATACCTGACACGCGTCTATTAAATCTGTGTGTTTTTTAACACAAGCAAAGAAAAAGCAGGATTGTATTTTCTGGACCTCCATGCTGTCTTTCTCCATGTGGTGGGTGTATCTATGAACAAACACCCAAACAGAGTTTAGCTGTATTTACTAGTTAACCGTCTGGTCTATACAACATTTTAAAGAGCATTCGAACACAGCATTAACTTAGTGAACAGTAATGGTACCACCATGTTCCTGACATTGTCAGATAAGGAGAGAATAGACAGGCTCAACTAACAGCAAAAACAGGGTTGTTGGGTAAAATTTATAGGACATGTCAGCAAGCCATAACCGTTTTTGTGATTTGGACAGCTCCTATTAGCTAAACATTTAGTGAATAGCAAACTTAGTGGGACGTTCATAGAGACCTGATGACTGGCCAGTAACAATAGTTGACTGTTGTCATTTAATGTTTTACCTAATGCTATATTAATATACAAATAACAGACCCACAAACTCTAAAATGACATTTTAGTGTTAAGTCAACAAGATTTTACAAACAATGCAAAATCTACATTGTTTAAAACAGTTGACTCCCATCTTGTGACTGGCTAAGTTAGCAAAGTGATTTCACCCCCTGACTGCGCGTGCACCCAGTATTGTAAACAGGAAACCCGTCTATATAATTGAAAGGAAAGCTTCACTGCTTCAGAAGGCTTTTTGTTATCAGTAGTATTTCAAACTGTTTAGCTAGTTTCTTGTATTTGCTGATTTGTGTGGCTCATCAACCTTTTGCTGCACATCATTGCTGTATTCTTTGGACTTTCTCATAGTGATGAATGACACTGTAGTTTCTCATGGATGACTGAGAAAATTTGGAAAATTTGTGTCACCTCATATTTATACCCCAGTGAAACAGGAAATCATGGCTGACCATTTAAGTGTTCCTATTCGCTCAGATGAACTTTGAAACACATAATATGAATGTGAATATAACTTGGATTTCATGCATAAGAAGCCAGTTTCATCATACAGCCTGTTTTGCTCATGTTTACCAGGGGTGCCATTATTTGTGGAGGGCATTATGTGTGTGTGTGTGTGTGTGTGTGTGTGTGTGTATGTATGTGTGTATATATATGTATATGTGTGTGTATGTGTGTGTGTGTGTGTATATATATATATATATATGTATATATATGTGTATGTATGTGTGTGTATATATATATATATATATATATATATATATATATATATATATGTGTATGTGTATGTATGTGTATGTGTATGTGTACACATACACCGATCAGGCATAACATTATGACCACCTCCTTGTTTCTATGCTCATTGTCCATTTTATCAGCTCCACTTACTAAATAGGTGCACTTTGTAGTTCTACAATTACAGACTGTAGTCCATCTGTAGTCCTCAGTGTCACTGCTGGACTGAGAATAGTCCACCAACCAAAAATATCCAGCCAACAGTGTCCTGTGGGCAGCGTCCTGTGACCACTGATGAAGGACTAGAGGATGACCAACACAAACTGTGCAGCAGCAGATGAGCTATCGTCTCTGACTTTACATCTACAAGGTGGACTGACAAGGTAGGAGTGTCTAATAGAGTGGACAGTGAGTGGACACAGTGTTTAAAAACTCCAGCAGATAAAATGGACAATGAGCGTAGAAACAAGGAGGTGGTCATAATGTTATGCCTGATCAGTGTGTGTGTGTGTGTGTGTGTGTGTGTGTGTGTGTGTGTGTGTGTGATCACATAAATTATATAAAATACACTGCAGTATATGTATTTGTAAAGTGTATGACATGATAAACATAAAGAGTGAAGCTAACAGATTATTTGCCAAGTTAATTCATTTAGCCAAAAATGAATGTAATGAATAAAAAAACAATTAGTAAAAACCTATTCAAAATATATAATACTGTATAATATTTCTTATGAATATTTCCTTGTTATTGTTCTTTTAGCTTATCATGTACTTAGACTTTTAACGCAAAGATTTGGAGACCTCTCTGGTGGAGAAGTGTAATTGCATGCAGAGTGCAGGAGAACATTTGTTAACACGGGTTGTTCTGCGGACCCCTTCCCTGAGCAGATGAATCTGATGATTGTGAGTGTGTTGAAAGAGAATGCAAAGAGAACTCCGACTAAACCTGGTGAAATATGTGTCTTCAATTTACTATATAAAGCTTAAGAATTTTTTTGTACTGTTTCATAAAACTGGTACCTCTCACTTTCAAATACATACTGTGTGATGCTGAACATACAGGGAGAACTGAAGGACAAAAGACAAAAACAAGGCAGTTTCACCCTCCCTGAAGGAAATCTGGGTCATATTCAGGTCTTTTTATGATGCTTATCAAGGTTTATCTGTGTACATTCCACAGATCGTCTCAGTGCCTCATAAACACAGGCTCAGTAACCCAGACTTGGCCTCTGATAAAGACTTCTCATCCTTTGAGATTTTACTGCTGGCTGTCTCTGGGCCTCAACCTTTGTGATATGGCTTTGGGAAAAGACGGAGTGACTTGAAGGGAGCAAGGACACCGGCATGTTTTCCTGGAATGTTTTTGAGCTGGAGGGGCTTGAGCTTAGCTTAAATAAGACAAATATTGACACTTTTAATGTGCAATATTTTTCCAACCCATTTTCTCTGGTGCATATGTTTACATAAGCCCTTTAAAGCCTTGTACTTTAACTCTACATACAGTAAGTTGTTGTCAATAGTGTGTGGCTTTGTGGGCTTGTGTGTGGTGGCCTTGTTCTGCTCTGTGCATCTGCAAAAGAGTTGTTATTGTAGCTGTTTAAGCTTGCATCATAAACCATACAACTCGTTCTGTTCTCTCAGAGCTTCCTGAGAACTGGACAGACACCAGAGAGACCCTCATTGAGGGCATGACCTTCAACCTACGGCTTTTGGGAATGACTCTTGTGGACCAGCCAAAAGGTGAAGATCTGTCAGCTGCTGCTGTCAAGAGGATTGTTGCTACGGTGAGTGAGGCTGCAGAATAATGACTAAAATAATATTTAATCACTAAAATATGATGATTATTATTATTATTATTATGATTATTCATCCAGTTAAGGAGAAAAAATACTTTAATTGCTCTGTAGCATTTTAAATCAGCATTCAGGAGCCTGTTCTTTCACATTGAACAGTACAAGTGTGTTTTATTTCAAATATGGAAGAATGAATTCTCCTGAATTACAGCCCCAATTCCAAAACCATTGGGATCATTGTGTGAAATGCTAAGAAAAACAGAAAGCAGTGATTAGTTTTACCTTATAAACTTTATTGTTTTTTGTAAATATATACTCATTCCAAATTTGATGGCAGAAACACGTTCCAAAAAGGCTGGTTTTAACAGCACTTGGCCCTTGTGTGGTGTTGGGGTCCATGGGACCCATTTTCAACGTTTACCAAAAGAAAAAATGTGATTTGTTATTATTTCAACCCCAGATTATTTGGTCTTTGCTCATTTTCTGTGAAGAACATATATATATGTGTGTGTGTGTGTGTGTGTGTGTGTGTGTGTGTGTGTGTGTGTGTGTGTGTGTGAGGGTGGCCAACATGGACAGGCTGCTGACTAGTGTTTTAAACATCTGGTGTTTTTACTTAAATTGTTGTGGCTGTACTGATTTTAAAAAACCAATAATGTGGTGGGCCCACCAGACCACTGAGTAACAAACACATTAACACCACACAAGGGCTGATAATCATTTGGAGACTAAAGACACTAATTGATCCATTTTTGAAAGCAGAATTTTTTTGCCATTCTTCTGTTATACATGTCTCAGCTGCACAACCTTGTGGGGCCTTTATTGTCATATTTTGAGCTTAATAATTTGACACATTTTAGAGACAGTTCTCTGACTGTGCAGCCATGCTGTTGTAGCACATACAGGTTGTGGCTCTGTGTTGTCATGTTGAAGTAAACATGGACATCCATGCATAAGATGTCGTCATCTATAAGGTGGGATATGTTGCTCTAAAATCTGTTCTGCATTAAAGGTGCTTTCACAGATGTACAAGCTACCCTCTAATACCCTCCCCCATGTGCCATGACAGACACTGGCTTTTGAACTTTACACTGGTAACATTCAGGATGCCCCTTTTCTTCTTTGGCCCAGAGAACACGATGTCCATTATTTCCATAAACAATCTGAAATGTGTTCTGACTCATCAGACCACATATATATGTTTCCCCTGTGCATCAGTCCATTTAAGATGAGCATGAGCCCATAGGAGTTGGTAGTGTTTCTGGACGTTGTTGACATATGACTTCCATTGTGCATAGTACAGTTTAACTTGCATTTGTGGAAGCAGCAGCGGACAGTGTATTGACAACAGTTTGTCAAAGTATTCCTGAGCCCATGTGTGATATCAGTCACAGAAGAATGCCTTTTTTTAACGCAGTGTGGTCTGAGAGGTCAAAGATCACCAGCCACATTCATTTGTGGTTTTGGGCTTTTCCTTTATGCACAGAGATTTCTCCTGATTCCCTGAATTATTTGATGTTATTAAGCACTGTGGAGGGTGAAATGCCTAAAATCTTTGCAATCATTGGCTGAGGAACATCAACCCATCCTCTCTCATAAAGGACTCTGCCTTTCCTCGATGCTCCTTTTATACGTGAGCATGAGTGCATCATCTGTTTAAGGTGTCTTTTGAACATTTCACAAAGTCTTAAATTGCTTCTGTCCCAACTTTTTTAGAATATGTTGTAGGCATCAATTTCAGAATGAACATATATTTACAAAAACAATAAAGTTAATAGATCATTTTAAATATCTTGTCTTGTCTTTTTATTTACTCAGGTGACTTAATGCTTGTTACTACTTTGCCTGTTTGTAGTTCTTTTTCTATATCTTCTGTCTATTGGTCTTCTTAATCTTGTGCTCAAGTTCCCATCTGTAACAATTCCTAGGCTAAAGCCAGTGGAAAGAAGCTCCCCAAGGTGGTCCTGAAGGTCAGCCCTCAGGGAATCCTGCTTTACGACAGTGTGTCTAATCAACTGATAGAGAGCGTCTCTATATACAGGTGAATTTCTCTCTCCCTCTCTGAGTAAAACACCACCTCTTGTGCTCATAAAGCTTCAAATAACCAGGCCATAAAGCACTAATATTTGTGTGCATGTAGTGCAGTGTTATTTCTATACAGGCAGAACTTTTCTCTGTGAGTGGGATGCCTAGTCTACAACTGAGAGAATGGGAGTCTTATAGACATGTACAGACAGGCACAACTACAGGCTGGTTTTGTTTTGCTGATGCTGTGAAGTGAATCTCCTATAAATCTGACACTGTCTGTGTTTACATGCAAAGATTTTTGCCAATCCGATTGAATACATTCCGATTACAGATTAAGATTGAGGTGTTTATTTGCTCACCCTGCTGAACAATCTGATGGAAAAGTTTACATGCACACTACAAGTAATCAGATCCAAAATTACATGCATACATAGAGAACCACTTAGTGTAGATGTTACCATGACATCGAGCATCATGTGAGTCTAGTCAGAGTGAGGCGAATTTTCAGCTGGCACGCTTGTGTTTTTAATTGCTTTGAAATTATGGCAGAAAAGTGTACTTTACATGTATCACACTTAAGCTGGATGCCCGTCCCACCTCCGTCTTTTAAAGTTCAAAGCATAAACTTCGTCCCCTCTGCAGACCAGTTTCTGCTCCCACCATGTTGAACGTCATAAACTTTCATTATGATGTTCCGATTGGGAATGTAATCGGATACAGGCGTTTACATGGATATTATTCTTCTATTTAATGGACTATTTAAAGGATTACCCACCTCGTTCAATCAGGTACAATCAGATAGAAATTGTATTCCGAACGGCCTCAATCGGACTAGACTATTCCAACTGAGGTGTTTACATGGACGTATTCTATTTCAGTTGAGCTATTAGTCGGTTTATTAACGGATTATTGGGCTGCATATGAATGTGGCTAATCGGCACAAATGCTTCAAATAATTACACCAGATGCTGTCAGTCAGATTTTTGCACAGGTGCTATAAGACTAATGTAGCTAATGCTGGCTTTACACATTGGAACTTTCATTCAAATTTAGCTTGAAAAAAAGGTACATCAATTACATTTCTGTTGCACAGTGCAAAGCGTCCTGCAATGCAGTTGAAACTCAGACGCAACAGTTGCAGGCGTCTCAACTTTAGGGAATGAGTTTAATGAAACAGGCAGTCAAAACGCCTGTAACGCATCACGTGATCATATCACATGACATCATTTTCAAACTGTCTATTTTACCAGACTATTGGACAATAAAATAAAACAAAGATTGTTTATGATTGAAAAGAAGCTCTTCCTGGTCAGCTTTCTGCAAGATTGGTAGTTTCCTGAGCCATAACAGCAAATAAGAGTTAATCAGAGAAATTATAGCCGGTTAACAGTAACAGCTGTTTAAACAGCTGCTTGTGCCACCATTTTTTCTTCTTTGTTAGCCTGCTGTTGATATGATTTTGTGGAGCTTGATTCACTTTCTCCTTTCTTGATACCCCCTAGTCTTACACAAAGCTCTTTGAAAATCCTTAAAGAATCAACGGATGAAATATATTACAGAAGAGGAGTCCAAGGTTTGGTCCTCTGTCAACTGCAGTGCTTCTAGGACAGGTTAAGTGAGGCATCAAATACAACTGTAATAGTAGACAGTAGGGAAGACACGTCTTGCACCAAATTTTGACTGAGTTCTCTATAAAAAGCTTTCAGCGTGCTCACAATCATCGGATTTATCCGTGCATGAGGATTCAAAGCACAACCAATGTTACAAAATATTCTTCCACATGCTGTGTTACACATTTCTGACAGAAATTTTTAGTGTAGCCCTAATCATACATTTTCAATAGATTACACAAAGATAGTAAAGAACCCTAGATAGACAGTTCAATGATACCAATATTGTAGAGAAAATAGAGCAACAATGACAGAAGAGACGATAATACGAAGATTCTGCGTATGTGTAAATAACACCTTGCAGATATATTTGTGTATGAAAGTATAAAAGCTGCTGATTTGTATAACAAGTAGAGTAAACAAATGTGTTTTGGGCAACTTTTAATTTTTTTTTTAATTGCTTCATGTAGCTGCAACTCACAGTTGCGTGCAGCTAACTAGTTGCATGAAAGTTTCACTGTGTAAAGCCAGCCTAACAAGTAATGGAGGCTCTACCAATTTGCACTGTGCAAAATGCACACTAAAATCATCACATAATGGCCTCAAATTGTATCGAGTTCTTCTCAAAATGCTAGAAATATTGAATAAAACATCTAAAAGCACCTTTTGATGTCTAGTTTGTAGAATTGAAATGTTCATTATGTAAGTCATTATTGTATATACAGTAACAAGCATTATTTATGATAGCTTTTGAACAGTAGTCAATCTAACACTGAAACCTGTTTCTTTCAGAATATCGTATTGCACTGCAGACAAAATGCATGACAAGGTGTTTGCTTACATCGCCCAGAACCAACAAAATGAAACACTGGAGTGCCACGCGTTCCTCTGTGCCAAGAGGAAAGTGGTGAGTATCTGCTGTGTTGTGTGGGTTTTCTTATGAAACTGATCCATCATTTGGTCAGAGCTGAGGCGCAATAACGTAGACGATGAGAAGGGGAATAGTGTCTTAGCTACAAGATTACAGTAAAAAAAAAATCTGTGTCCAGAATGTGGCACTCCCTCCTCTCTCTGCTTCATGTGTTTGTCACAGCACAATGTGAATTTGGTGTGTTTTCATTAGTTAGTTTTAGGCTAATAAACCACTGAACACAAGGTCATTTGCTGCATTATTTCAATATGTTTAAAGGAATTTACACACAGTTGTATGCAAAGGTTTGGGCACAGCTGGTCAAATTACATGTTTTGTTGAGTAAAACCAAGTTAACACGGCCTCAGCACTTCATATTTTGATGCACAGTTACTGTTATGGTAAAAATTCAGGCACCGTGATCAGATTTTCTGTTACTGTGATAGCTAAGCGAGTAAAAGACGACACATTTCTTTAATATTTAAAGCAACATTACTTTTTTTGATTTCCATCTTTTACAGCTTTCAAAATAAAAAAAAACCCTGCCTGGTCAATAGTTAGTACCAGCCCCTTTGGCAAGTATTACAATTTGTAAGTGCTTTTGTAGCCAAATAAGAATTTTTCAGTTGTTGTTTGAGGGATTTTCACCCATTCTTCTTTGAAAAGGCATCTAGTTCTCAGGCTCTCTTGCATGCACTGCTCTTTTGAGGTATATCCACAGATTATCGATGATCGGTAGGTTGGGGGGCTGTGAGGTCCATGGCAAAACCTTCAGCTTGTGCCTCTTGATGTAGTCCGTTGTGGATTTTGAGGTGTGTTTAGGATCATTATCTTGTTGTAGAAGCCATTATCTTTTCATCTTTAGCTTTTTTACAGGTGGTTTGATGTTTGTTTTCAGAATTTGCTGGCATTTAATTGAATCCATTCTTCTCTCATGATCAATCCACCCCCACTGCTTGACAGTCAGAGAGGTGTCATTTCACGAAATTCTGCACCCCGTTTCTCTAAACATACCTTTGCTCATTGCGGCCAAAAATTTCTGTTTTATCTTATTACTCCACAGGACTTGCTTCCAAAATGCGTCGACCTTGTTTAGATGTTCCTTTGCAAACTTTTGACGCTGAATTTTGTGGTGAGGATGCAGAAAAGGTTTTCTTCTGATGACTCTTCCATGAAGGTCATATTTGTGCAGGTGTCACTGCTCAGTAGAACAGTGCACCACCACTCCACAGTGTGTTAAACCTTCCTGAAAGTCTTTACAGTCAATAGGGCTTTCATTTGCATTTCTAGCAATCCTTTGAGCAGTTCTTTCAGAAAGTTTTCTTGGTCTTCCAGACCTCAGCGTGACCTTTTCACCATTTCTGTGGACTGTGCTTTCTTAATTACACTGAGAACTGAGGAAATACCTTCCTGAAAACTCTTTGCTATCTTCTCCTAGCCTTCTCCTGCTTTGTGGGCATTGATTATTTTAATCTTTAGAGTGCTAGGCAGCTGATTGGAGGAGCCTGTAGCTGCTGGTTGTTGGGACAAGGTTTGAGGAGTCAGAGTATTTAAAAAGCCTGGTCTTTCCTAGCTAATCCAAGCTAATTGAGGTCTGAGACGTTGGTAAAAAAGTTATCTGAGAGCTCAAATTTCTTGGTGTGCCCAAACTTTTGCATGGTGCTCTTTTTCATTATGCACTCTAAAATTGTACCAAACAAATCTAATAGTAATAATAAAAATTTTGAAAAGAATGGTTCATTGTTATGCCCTTTGGAGATCCATTCATCTTCTACTTACCTAACTATTCACAGTAACAGACATTTGGACCAAGGGTGCTCAAACAAGGGGGTTCAAACTTTTGCATCCCTTACTCCCCTTGGCTTTTCCCCCTGACTCCAAAAGTAATCCGTTTGGTGTCTGAAGTTTGTTTCTTCAGTTTTGCACTGGAGCTACAAGGTTAATGTAGCTAACGAGTCATGTAAACTTAAACTCCACTAATTAGTATCATGCTGACTGCATCCCTCAAACCATGTTTAGTTGGTAAGTAATCTCAAATTCACTTGCTTATGTGGTTTTTCACATTGTATGACAATGTTATCTACAAAAATAGACAAAAGTACAGATTACACTCAGGTCTCAAGGTGACCTTGTTCTGAACAATACTGACAAGAATGTTCAGTACAGTTGGCAACAGCGTGATGCCATTATGATATGGGTGTAAAGCTGAGGACCTTAAAATGTTAATGCTCTTGTCCTGAATATATCTGACTACTTAGGACCAGGACAGTCAGGCCAATTTTGAGCCAGACCTTCTCGTCCCAAATCAGTGCCTGACCTAATGAATTCCCATTTGATTGAATGGGCAGAAATTCCTGCAGATACACTCTAAAATCTTGTGGAAAGCCTTTCCAGAAGAGTGGAGGCTGTAATAGTCGTAAAGTAGGGAGGACTCAATATTAATGCCCTTAGTTTTAAAATGGGATGTCCAGCAAGGTGTGAGTGTAGTTACCAATCCAATACTTGGTATCAATATTAGGTTAATCAGCAGAAAATGCTAGTTTGGCTGTTGGAAGGACAAAAGAATGAATCTTAGCCAATCCTGTAATACAGGGGTGCCTAATCCTGGTCCTGGAGATCTACCAGCCTGCAGAGTTTAGCTCCAACACTAATCTAGCACACCTGATCCAGGTAATGAAGGCCTTGAGAAGCAATATTAGAGTCAGGTGTGTTGGTTCTGAACTCTGCAGGGCCGTAGATCCCCAGGACCAGGATTGAGCATCCCTTCTGTAATACGTCTATTATGGAGTAACACAAACTCACACTGTGATGTGATGTTAGCTGTGTAGGCCTGTTTCTTACTGGGGGGTTAGAAGGGTGATTGATTAGTTTGACCATGAAGCCCTTCTTTTAGATGCTCATCTTAAGTGCTAATTTTAATGTTTAGTGCTATTAAAGAATAAATATCAAATTGATATCAGATGTTAATCATTGTTTCCATATCTGTTTGGGAAAATAATAAGTGGTATATTTAACATTAAACTGTCAGATAATCAGGCACAGACGTAAGAAGAATCTGACATGCGTCACTGAAGTTCCTGATGCTGCCTTTAAACACACTGTTCTCGAATACAAGAAGAATGCTGTGATTATTTATTGCTACCTACGATTGCATTTCTGTGACAGGCCTATAAAGCCCTCACAAAGTAAATAAGAAATAAAGTACACAGAACATAAAAGATAAATAAACACAGCACTTTTTACTGAAACCCTGCAAAAAAACAGGGTGGGTTGTGATACAGCGTTCCCATATTTGTACTAGCTGCATCCACTATTTGCCAGATGTCCCGAAAAAATCCCGGATTACTTTTCATCAAACTGGAGGAAAACCGGACGTGTTGCATTGATGTTTTTGTTAAGTGTTTTTGTTAAGTTATGTAAGTAAGTAAAAGGTGTGGTATTGCTAGAGCACTGTTTTCACTCTCCTCCCCTCTCTTTCTCTCTCAGGCCCAGGCTGTAACACTGACCGTAGCTCAAGCCTTCAGAGTGGCCTTCGAGTACTGGCAGCACGCCAAAGAAGGTACTGCGTCACTATTAGCCGCTATTAACTGTCTACACCTCGAGTGGCAGTGCCGTATGAGCGGCTGAGAGGATACTAGGCCGAAGTGGGTGATCATTTATCAGGCTGATTGGACAGGCCAGAAGCCACGGCCACAGTCCTAGGGGAGTCTTTGAAGTAAAGGCCACTGATACTCTTGAGCTTTTAAGAGAGTTATAGTGAGACCACTGCCCTCTAATTTTCTTTTTATAGTGATGATTGGATCTCCTGCCCTGTGGAGACTTTCCTACATTGGAGAGCACCTGAATTAATTACGAATATCTCTGTTCTGTATTTATTGTGTTTGTTCAACGTTCTGTGTCTCTGCTTTGGATTGTTGTTGTTGTTGTCGTCATTATTATTTTGTTTTATTTTATTGCTAATTTTTTGCTCTTTTTCAGAGAAAGAACAGGAAGTAAAGTCAGGTACAGAGACAAGTAATAGTACACAGCCTGACACATCAGAGAGCACTGTCAGCCTGAAAGGAACAGGTACTGAACCCACAGCTATAGACACATTGCCATTCAGTCTGTCACACAACCAGAAAATTTCAGCTGACAACTAACTGCCATATAAAAGGCTTAAGCCGACTGACGTTAGTATCATGACTCACCCACAAATTGCGTCGCCAGTTGCCAGTGTAGACAATTTAAACGTGCACACATTTGTGTCATTATCTTTCATTTCTTTTAGCGTGTTTTCTTTTAATGTGTACTTCATATTAGGCTGTGTGTTTGTGTGTGTGTGTTTGTGTGTGTGTGTGTGTGTGTGTGTGTGTATATGTGTATATATACACTGATCAGGCATAACATTCTGACCACCTCCTTGTTTCTATGCTCATTGTCCATTTTATCAGCTCCACTTACTATACAGGTGCACTTTGTAGTTCTACAGTTACAGACTGTAGTCCATCTGTTTCTCTGCATACTTTGTTAGCCCCCTGTTTACCCTGTTCTTCAGTGGTCAGGACCCCCATTGACCCTCACAGAGCAGGTACTATTTGGATGGTGGATCATTCTCAGCACTGCAGTAACACTGACATGGTGGTGGTGTGTTAGTGTATGTTGTGCTGGTACGAGTGGATCAGACACAGCAGTGCTGCTGGAGTTTTTAAACACTGTGTCCACTCACTGTCCACTCTATTAGACACTCATACCTTGTCAGTCTACCTTGTAGATGTAAAGTCAGAGACGATAGCTCATCTGCTGCTGCACAGTTTGTGTTGGTCATCCTCTAGTCCTTCATTAGTGGTCACAGGACGCTGCCCACAGGATGCTGTTGGCTGGATATTTTTGGTTGGTGGACTATTCTCAGTCCAGCAGTGACACTGAGGTGTTTAAAAACTCCAGCAGCACTGCTGTGTCTGATCCACTCAGACCAGCGCAACACACACTAACACACCACCACCACGTCAGTGTTACTGCAGTGCTGAGAATGATCCACCACCTGAATAGTGCACCTATATAGTAAGTGGAGCTAATAAAATGGACAATGAGCGAAGAAACAAGGAGGTGGTCACACACACATACACACACACACACACACATATATACACACATACATACATATACATATGTTTGTATTGTAGCTTCAGAACATACTGTAGTTCTGTAGCACCACAAGGCAGCCTGGGACGCCTAATTCACAAAACATGAATGAGGGTTTAAGTGATTTTGATGTTGTGGTTTTCTCTGGTTTAAGTGGGCTTCTGTGGTGTTACCACAACCTGCCATGCTGGAAAGTTTTTACCGAAAGGAGCAGCTTCCCAGCCAGTATTCCTGTATTCATGGCTCTTTTCTCAGCAGCTGCCTTTGGGTTTTTTTTTTTTCTTTTTTTTTTTCTCTTCATTAAAATGCCTCTCGCTTTCCTGAAACTTGCCAGCATTAAAAATCTGTTATAAGCTGTAATAAGGTTGCCTTTAGAGAGAAAGGTTTAGTGTCCCAATGATCAAGACACAGAGATGCCTTAATAAAGATGCATTTGCTCCACCTTGCAGATGAAGCTCTCAGCTCAGAACAGAACCAGACCCTCGCTCAGGCTGAATCTCAAATGGCACTATGTAGGAAATACTGGCTTCTGCATAATGTGTCTAACAAATAGCCATTTGGGGTTTATCCACGTGTGCACAGTTCCATACTGGACAAACAGTGCAGTTTTTGTTTGTAGAAGCCAGAATTTCATGACTTTGCACACTATATAGGAAGTAAAGACCAATTAGAGATCCAGCCTTGGTCTCTCTCTCTCTCTCTCTCTCTCTCTCTCTCTCTCTCTCTCTCTCTCTCTCTCTCTCTCTCTCTCTCTCTCTGCTTGCTTTGATTTGTGTATGTATCTTTAACTGTGAGAGTTTAGCTATTTAACTTTTAAATAAGGTAAAAATAAGTTTCTTATTTTGTATGAAGGAGTCAGTTTGATTCCCTGTGAAATATATCACAGTATAGATCATCAAAACTGCATAAATTGCTATTGTTGCTAATGATTTTCCCATTAGAAATGTTCGTTATAACACAAACATAGGGTTGTGAAAGCTAACATCTGTGGAAAATAATTGCAGTCAGGCAACTCTGTAGTACATACAACATATTCTGTTGAAAGTTTTGGGATGACTTGCCTTCTCTGTTTTTTGGAGTATAATAGATTATAGATGCACTGTTTTATCATCATCGTGATAAATTGTATTTTTGCGACAAACGTTGCTGTTTTCTGAGCATATTATGGATATAACGAACACTAATCGACTGCATGTTTCATTACAAAGAGCATAATTAGTCCTGTTAAACTGATTTAGTTCAGTACAGAATATAATAAAAATAATTGTGTTCATATTGTTAATAGAATCACTAGATGTTTATCAAAATATTGTGATACATATCATGTATTGTGAAAATGTCTTGAAGTATCGTAATATGATATTTTTGCCATGTCGCCCACCCCCACTAGTTACTCCAGCCTTTTGCCAGAAATGACACTCTTCATGTTCTCAAAAGTATAAGCAGTTTATATTAGAGCTGGGTTTGTATAACTTTCAGGGCCGAAGGATTTTTCCACTAAAAGTTATTTCCACATATTAAAATATCAGCTGAATCAGGCACAGACATTAAATAACAACGTTTCCATCAATCGTCTGTCACTGAGCTTCCCAGTACTGTTTGTAAACAAGGTTTTTGTTCTGCTCAAGGGAAGTCAAGGGAAATTATTCTGTATATTCTTGGAAATGTTGGAGATGTAAAGAGAAACCAGCTGCTTAAACATTCATCAGTTGATAACTTTAGCTTATCTTAGCTTCTTTAATCCTGCATGTTACACCTTTTAACTCCAGATTACAGAATGATTGTCTGAACTACAGTTGTTTTGACCATTACACCAATTCATTGTTGTTTAACTAGTCAGTATTCTAGCTAGCTTGTACTAAATTTCAGTTTTAGTAGATTAAACATAAATCAGATTATCTCTAGGGATGCCCCAATTTGGGAATTCGTGGACAATGACATGATATTTTCATGTACATGTCTGTCAATGCCAATACAGAAGTATCTATGAATGTAGAAATTGGGACTACATCTACCTGGATTAGCGTTACATATAAATATGATGTTTATGTGTAAGGAATGTTATGTTGTATTAAAATCTAACATTTATTCATAGTTTGCAATAAATGTCATCAAATATAGGTTTGAAATATCAGTCAAATCTAAAATTTCTCATGCTAGTAACACTTATGTGCTGTTATTAAATATGATTCTGATATCATTGTGCATGCCTAAATAATTTGCTGATTAGTTAATTCAGGTGAACTATCTGAGGATATAGTTACTGACTAAATTGGAGTTTAATAGGAGTTTCTATAACGTTTTTATATACCCAACAGTCAGTAGGACCTGCACTTCTGCTCTAACAGCTACTAAAATCAAAGACACATTAGAGCAGTTAAAAAATGCATAATGCCACTGGCTGCCACACAACCCCAAACATAATAGATCCACCCCCAGCTAACAGTTGGCAAGGTGTTCTTTTCATCAGATGCTGTTTTTTTTTTTCCTCCAAACATACCTTTGGTGATTGTAACCAAACAGTTTATTTTTTTTCTTATCACTCCACAGCATTTTGTTCCCAGATGCCTTTGGTTTTTCTAAATGTTGTTTGGCATAGTTCAGACTTTTATGATGAGATCACAATTAAGGTTACAGTCAAGTGGTTTTGATTTGAAACAATCTGTGAGCAGTCCTATCAGAGAATGTTGTTGGTCTTCCAGATCTTGACTTGACTTGGTTTAATGCATAATGAGTCAAAGAAGCTCTGAGATCTTACAAAAAAACAGTAAATCTAAACATCTGCCCAATGCTGATAATCCAATAACATATTTTTAACACTAATGTGCCGTTAATATGAATTTGATATTGTTGTATGACTAAATAATTTGACAGTTGTTTAATTCTGGTGAACTACGTGATGACAGTCGCTGACTAACTTAAAGTTTAATTAGCACTTCTTACGCTCCAGTATTTTATGCACCCGGACAGTCAATAGAACATGCACTTCTGCTCTAAAAGCTATTAAAATCACATTGGAACAGTTAGACAGTCCATTTGTGTGCAGAAATAATGGAATGTCCCTTTTAAATGTGTTTGTCTTGTTGGCTCCAGACGCAGCAACAGGAAACCTGTTGGATATCGATGACGGCCCCATGGTGCTTGTGGAAAATATTGACAACCAGGAAAGCCATGTGGGCAACCACAATGAGCCTGAAAACAACAACACCATCTGGGTAAGATCCAAGCTCAGGCATTGTTTGGCCAGTTTGCTTCAAGGAAGTGTGACACAATTTACCCCTGTGACTCAGAACTACAGTAATACTGCAGATGTTTCTATAGAATTCTTATAGGAATCTTAAAGTCAGGCAGTTATTATAGTTTATGCTCATAAAAAGTAAAAAGCGTGCTAGAATAGATTCTTTAGACCGATGCTATAAAGGAATCACTTTTGGTTCCCCAAAAACCTTTAGAGAACCATTTTTGTGTGGATGTGAACAGTCTTTTTAAAGTTTAAAGGGCCCATATGCTCCATCTATCCTTTTTATTCTTCTCTCTGAGATCTACTCATAAACTTTGTGTTTTTTTTTGTACCAAAAACAATAACAATTCATTTTTATGTGATCACTTTCTAACGTCTCTTTTATCCCTTACATTAAAACAGGCTGCTTTTGTTGCTGTTCCTTTAACAGTGTTATATGTAAATGATCTCTGTTGTGATTGGCTGCCCTGTATCATCTCATTCAAAAAGCAGTCCAGGCTCAAACACTACTAATACTTTCAGCCTCAGTGGGTGGAGCTAAACTGCTGTAGCATGGATGGATGGATACATGTAAATGCATTGACATCACAAAAATATTTAATTCAAAAGGGGCTCTTTTATTTGAAAAAATAAAAAAGGAAGAGGAGAATTTCAGCTTTTCATGATATGGGCCCTTAAAAAAACTCCCACATAATGTAAAAGTTCTATGCCAGTTAAAGGTTTTTACCAGAACCGTATGTCCATGAGCTACTAAAGGTACTAACACAGCTATAATAAAACGGATAGTTCCAGTCCTAAAATCTGATTGGCTGAGCAGCGCTTGAAGCTGTTGTAAAATCCACACCTATGACCGCCTCATGACAACTGAATTGTGTGTTACTGCGTTATGGCACATTAGGAAAACACCATTGTGCTGTTAATGGAATAATCTTTGACTCTCATGCTGCTCACATGGAGCACCGAGTATATTGATGAAGTAAGAACCGTTTTTTTTTGTTTAAACTGAGGGGCTGGCAGCTTATGTTCTTAACTAGAACTAGGCTGGTGAGATAGCTAACAGGCTAAGAGAGCAAACAGCCTAAAGAACTCCATCATTAATTTCACAAGCTTGAATTAAAGTACTTACGGTATGAATAACTGTAAAACGGCAATATAGAAGTCTAAAAAATGTCACTTGAATGGATTACACACTCCCAAACGGCGCCATACTCCATAAATAGTGCACTAGCTATGAAAGTTTTGAAATTCTAGCTTCTGCAGCAAAATAGTGCATCATTTATCGAGTGTGGATGTGTCTGAGTCCTAAATGACTCTGTCATAGCTATATTTTGCACCGTTGGGCTGCAGAATCCAGTATTTCAATTCCTGCATAGTGCACTATGTAGGGAGTAGGGAGCCATTTGAGATTCAGCCCCAGCACGAGAAGAGGGGCGGCGCTAGATTGGTGCTAAAAAAGACTTGAGGTTGTAGTTTGGTGACCAAAAAGTACTACAGAGCGAAAGTATCTGCATTAAACAGTGCTGTGTTATCATACGCATTGTGCCTAAGAACACCCGGTGATAAAATCACAGTAACGCACGGCCTCTCATGGCTTGTTGCTTTATTATAGATTACTAAATGAAAACCGTATTAGATGAATATAGAAATGATAGTATTTTATAACAGTACTGTACAGCTCTATAGAAATGTAGTTTCTTATTGTATTACTACAGTTCTGTTTCATAAGGGTTACAAATTTTGACTGTCTTTACTTGGCAACAAAAGGATGACTGTATACCTCACTATGGACATGCATCACAAATGGACACTAAAGTTGTTATTCAGCAACATGTTTGTTACAATATCAATGTAATATGAATTTCTCCACAGGAGTTAGATGATGGTCTGGATGAGGCCTTTTCAAGGTAAAATCCTCTCATACTCATAACCTGCTGTCTCTCTGTATCACTATCCTCACTATCTCTCTCCATGTAAAGCTGGAAGGGCACGTCCTTGAGAAGAGTTGACTGAGAAAAGAATGAGAAGAGCTGGCTGATAAACTGGCGTGTATCTCAGTGATTTCTGACTACAGTGTCTGAGTGGCGCCTTTGAATAGAACTTGAATGGAAAGGTCACTTCAGATATTGTGTCTGAGTTTGTACTGCTTGGTCTCTCGAGGCCTTTTGGTTGATCGACTGAACTGGACTGTGATGTGTTTGTCAGTGACTGCAAACTAACAAACTTGTGAGAGTGAAGCTCTGCTTAGAGGAGCGCTGACATTTTGACGGAGAGCCTCATATTTAACTTGTATGACATGAGGTAAATATTTAGGAGTGAATTGGGTGAGAAGGCTGAAGAAAAGAGTGAGATAGACAGAAGTGGAGTAAAGTCTTCCAGACAGATTCCAAAACACAAAAAAGGCTTCCGAGTGGCACAAGCATCTAAGTCAAGGGTGGCGAACTACAGATCTGAAGGGCCAGTGTCCAGTGTTTGGTGATTTTCCTGCTCCTACCTTACCAACCAGAGTACAGCCAGGTGTGTTTAAGTAGGAAAATCACCTGTGCTTCACTGTGGCCCTCCAGGACTGGAGCTCACCACCCCTGACCTGAGGGTTGGCCTTACTGTCATAAGATAGTGAGTTTGATTTACAGCGATGCCACAGCCATCCGTGGCTGGGAGTCAAATTTGGCATAAGTTATACATGAAAATTTATCTCCTTTTGGCAAAATTAGCCGTTTTGAGTGATTCACATAAATCGCGTAGATTTGATAGTTTTTTGAACAGCGAGTGAAAAGAGTTAATATGTGTAAATTAACATTATTTGCAACTTAGACAATCAGCTACCACTTTATTTTTGTCTGAAACTGATTTTGTCGACTGTCGTAATCAATGTGAGAGCTTAGCGGCTGTTTACAAATTACACAGCAAAGAGCAATCACCGGGGTCCAAGCACAACGCACCCTTTTTGGCACCAGTAGAACACAAACGATGAGCAAAGTAGTCTGTAAATATAAGAGAGGTGGGGTTTCAAAAGAAGAATGCTGAGAGATTTTGTACACATTGACCTTTTACTATGATAAGCAATAGGTCTTTAACAAATAAGTAAAATCGAGTTCCACAGCAGTTTCTAAGTCTCATAATGCAACAGAATTTTCGTGTTAAATTCATAAACATCTGAGCAGTGTTGCTGCCGGACGCTGCTACATGGGATTAGTTTCCTGTCACCTTTTTCACCTCTCCTGAGTTTTCTGTCTGATAATTGGCCTTGTGCTCCCCATCACTCAGCGTTAGGCTAGTATGTTAGCTGATAGAAGTTGTCCACATGCTAGCCCCGCCCCCCCCCACAGCTGAAGATGTGTGATGGCGGGACCTAGCTAGCTGGTGGAATTACCCTTGTCTAAATTGGAGAGAAGAAATGGGTAAAAATAATTAAAAAAATAAAAGCACCACATAAACAGACACACAAACAAACATTTACCAAAATGCATTGATTGTTGCATTTTAGAATGTTTGAGATCAAGCCACAGATCTTTTGTTTGATGAAGTAGGTCAAGGTCAAGGTTGGTTTTGATGTATGTTTTGGATCATTGTTTTCTTGTAATATCCAACCACTTTTTTATCTTCAGTTTCTTCACTGTCTGTGGGACATTAGCTTCCAGGTTTTGTTAATATTTAGCAGTAGCCACTGTTCCATCTCTCCCCAACATTTCCTGTGCCACTGGCTGCCACACAACCCCAAAGCGTAGTAGATCCATTCCCCAATGTTCAAGGTGTTCTTCTCATCAAAGGTTGTTTCTTTTTTCTCTAAACATACCTTTGGTGATTGTAGCCAAAGAGTTTCATTTTTGTTTAATTATACCACAGAACTTGATTCCAAAATCTCATCGAGATGTTGTTTTGCATAGTTCAGATATTGCCTTTCATGTTGAGATCACAGTTACGGTTACAGTTAAGGGCTTTTGCTTTGCATACCTGACCAGTCTATGAGCCGTTCTATCAGAGGAAGTTATTGGTCTTCCAGTTCTTGTCATGACTTCCACAGCTCTCCCTAAGGTCCATTTCTTAATGGCATTTCACACTTTGAAAACTGTAAGCAGGAAGTAGAAATCTTTCCATAGAATTCTCCTGCTTTGTATGAGTCAGTAGTGTTTAGTTCCAGATGCTCGGTCAGCTGCATAGATGAGCTCATAGATGTTGAGTGTAAACACAACACTTTGAGAAGTTTTCACAGAATTTATTACACTCTGGAATTGTCTGCACCTGACTTGGACTGAGGCAAGTATGCTCTAAAAACAAACAAATTAACAAAACAAAAAAACAAACTTATGCATTATTTGATTTGATATTTGATTCCAGATGTGAAACCTTTAATTGTCTAGCTAAAACCTTAATAAATGACCAACATATCGCTGCTGTCAGAACAAAATCTCGTATCTCCATTTTTGTGGTTTTTCAGTTTTTGACATAATTCGAGTACCTGTTGCCCTCTACATGGTATGTCCATTTAATGACGAATGGACCAAAAGAAACAGCCCAAAATGACTTGGGGGGGAAAAAAAGTCTGGTTCCACTGACTTACATTAAAAGTAAAGTATGTTTTTTCCTTCTCCTGTAAAGTTACCATTTTAGAGATACAATGTTTTGTTCCGACCGCAGCGAGATATAAAGTCTCTGAAAAGACATCCTGTTCCCTGAGCTGTCCATGTCAAATGCATCTGGATGCATTTATTGCATCATAAATCAATTAAACATTAGCTTATTAATCAAAATATTTGTTCTAGCCTTGGTCAGTTCTTGTTAACAGACTTTTAAAGGTAGGTTGCCAAAGCATAGCTGAATTTATAGCAGAACAAAATGATATAAAGTGACAGTAAATTACAGATTTTTCTGACTTTAGCAGACATATCTCACTTAAAAGCTTCCTTAGCAGCCCACACATGTGGGGAAAACAGTTTCATCTCTTTTAAAACTGTGCCGTACTTTTTAGGAATGTTTTCTGAACTGTCTGCCAATTTTTTTTTACTGTCTCTTCTTAATGTAATGCATGCTCAAGCTTAATATAAAAAGTGCATCATCTAATGATTGTGGTAAATAAGTTCAGCTAAAGTCTCTTTGGCAGCGCCATCTCCTGGTACTGGACCAGCTTCTGCAGACCATATTGATGGGATGAACTGGATGATTAATGTTTTTGCTTAAAAATGTTAACATTACTCCCACATTCAGTCTTTTTTATTGATTCACTTGGTTATTTGAACACATTTTTGGAATGGGAGGGATCCGTATGTTTATCCTGAAGCTCCTGACTGTTTTACTCTCTCTGTCTTTAGCTGCAGTTTGGATAGCTTTGAATACTCTGCAGGTAATAAATGGTGGTTTGAGTCTTAACCAGTCCAGTCTCAGCTCTCTCTGTACTCAGTTACATAATCCTCCTTGTGCTGTTGGTCATCAGTCTTGTGTACATTTCTCTCCTCCTTCCAGTTTTTCACCACCAAATGATTCTAGATCAGCCTCCATTTGTCATACTGCATTTGTTGAAAAGTCTCAGTCACACTGTATCAACAATGAAGACTATGCTGTAGACTTACTGCAATACAGACAAAACCATCACTGTATTCCATTTTTGTACCTCTCAGTGTGTAGTAAGGCTGCACAATAGGGAGAAAACATGTAATTGTGATTGTATTGCTATGTAATATGCCCTGCGATATATTAATAACACAGTTATAAACCATTGTTGTGACACAAAGGCAGGCCTATACTATTTTTGCCAAAATCATTTTCATTAATTCTTCAAAACATTCACAAAAACACTCACTTAAGGTAGATCTGTGATTGGTCGGGATGCTCCCAGCCCACAGTAAACAGTTATGTGATTGGCTAGAGGGCATATTTACATATTGCAGCCTTCTATATTCAGTATTGCAAAGGCCAATATTGCAGTAACTAAATACTAATGATAAATTGTGCAGCCCTGCTGAATGCCATAATCACCAGTCTGTTCAGATTTGCTGTCTTTTTTCAAGTTTTGAGTTCAACAAATATTATAACTGTTGTAAAGGAGTAGCAGTAATGTTGTCTAGTATCTACAGTACTATGCAGAAGTCAGCATCCACCCTTCGTTTATTTGATTTCCAGTCAAAACGGCCATAAAGTACAAGTTGCTCATTTTTTCAGGAGGTATTTCAGGAGAGTAGATTAGATATAAGACACTACACTCGCATGAAGAAGAAAGTCAAATGAAAATGAAACAACCGTGCAGGACCTGGTAGACCATCACAACTGCCCCCATCAGATAAACAGCACTTAAAGCTTTCGTCTTTGAGAGAGAGGAGAAATTCTGTCCATCCTTCCACTGTGAGACGACAACTCAGCTCAGATTTCTTTGAAAAACTGAAAGTGAGTCTCCTGAGAAGAATAGAAGCTGAAGAATAAAGTCAAAAGGTGGACACACTAAATACTGACATGGTTAATATTACATTTAGTTACATTTAATTATATTTAGTTTTCCATGTTATCTTTTGTTAAATATACAGTGTTATGCAAAAGTTTTAGGCACCTCAGAAAATGATATTCATATTAGCTATTTGTCTGGGCAGGAAGCATTCATTTGTTCAGAAAACACTAATATTAGAACAAATACAAATAATATTAGTACAGTAAGAAGTGATTTAGTGTTCATTTAACCTCTTCAAACCTGTCCTCAAGGAAGCTCAGTGTTATTCATAGTTATCATCCAACACCTGTGATGGCTAATCAGTGATTTATTAGGTTAAATTAAGTGAGCTGATGATGGAAATTAACAAATCAGTATGATGGATGTTCTGGGAGAAATCTGAAGCCAAACTTCTGCTCCTCAAACTAGCTCACAAGATATGAAATGAGAAATTCTGTTGATGTTTTTATGTTTAATCTAACGTTATATGGTGTTTTTACAAGCACTATTATACTTGCAGCCCAGATAGTTTTAAACAACCTGCTTAGGTGACTTTTTGCACAGTATTATGTACTGCTTTTTTTCTTGATGCTGAAAAATGAATAACTTGTACATAATGGTCATTTTGCTTGGAAATCAAAGAAAAGTGATCTCTGACTGTTGCACAGTATTGTATGTATCACTGAAGTACATTTGGACAGACACATAAAGTTGGTTTCCCAGACTAGGATTAAGACCAGTCCTGGCCTAGATTTTCCTTTCAATAGAGAATTCTCGTTCAGAATGCTGTGCAGTAGAATTACTTTAGAATTACTTCATTTCTTGCTCTTACAATCTCAAGTTTTACCAGAAATTGTTTAAATTATTTTGATGATTCCAAATTATTTGTAAACATACATCAAATTCACAAACGTGCTGCAGGAACTGTTTAGAATATAGACAATAAAACTAATACGTTTTTTTTTGTTTGTTTGTTTGTTTGGATTTATGATTGAAAATAGTCATTACTGAATATTATTCCAAGACTCCATCATTCCAAAATTAATGAAGTGTAATCGTCACCTTTAGATTGATGTTATGATGCACTAGAGCTGGGCGATATGGCCAAAAATCTTATCACGATAAAATTTTTCATATCGTTCGATATCGATACTTATCGTGATAAATGTCAAATTATTATTTCTTGCAAGTTTGAAGGCTGTTCTTTTTTTTGCTCCTGAGTGGTCAGTTGCTGTTTTAAACTATCATTTATGGTCAGAACATGACAAAACACTTGCCAAAAAGAGGAACATTTCACAAATCTGTGATGAGAGTGGGAGAAAGTTTCTGGTGAGCTGTTTTTACCAGCTGGAAATGCACGGCCGCAATTTTTTAGTAATCATCATAGTTAATAAAGAAAACAGATTATTTTTAGTTGTCTCGTGACAAGTGCTAGGCTATCGTCTATCGAGGAAAGTTATATCGCGATAATTATTATCATCGTTTTATCGCCCAGTCCTATGATGCACCAATGCATTTTACATCCCTTATTAACAGTAGTTGATAACATAGTAATGTCATTAATGATTATATTAACAATAGCAGTAATTTCCTAACAGTCCTTCATGTTTGTACCACCATCAGTGAAAAAAATGTGCTTCACATCTGTGTCTGTCTTCCTCTGTCTAGACTTGCCGAGTCCCGTACTAACCCCCAGGTCCTGGACATTAGGCTGACCCCTCTGGGCTGCAGCTCAGATCCAGAAAATGACAAGGCCAATGGTAACATGCCCAACACTGACAACCTCTTTTGCCTCTGAGAGCGGATTGTAAGGATATAACTGGACGCATCAAGAAACTGGTTAAATAGTAAAAGAAACTGGCCACAATGAAATGGACTGTCCACTCCAGCCTTCCTGACCAAGGCAAGCACTCAAAAAACCAAAGCAATATAGTGTGATCTTCAAAACTTATTTTGTGCTGTACTCAGCTTAGAGCTAACTGTATGTCCAAAAGTTTGTAGACATCTGAAATTAAGGGCATAAATAGGGGTTTGTCCTCCCTTTGCTGCAGTAACAGCCTCTACTCTTCTGGGAAGGCTTTACACTAGGTTTTAGAACATTGCTGTGAGGATTGAGGATGCTGTGAGCACTGATGTTGGATGATTAGTTCTGGATTACATACCCCACTCCAACTCATCCCAAAGGTACTGGATAGAGCTCTGTCATTCCAGACAATGCAGTTTCACTGCTCCACAGCCCAATACTGGCCTTACGCTCATGCGTGGCTGCTCCAGAGCATCCCGTTCTCTTGGTCAGTGCTTTTCTGTGGAGGTTAAGCTGTGTGTGCTCAGCTGAACCACCTTGCCCAGATGTAGTTGATAAGACCAAGTCCAAATTTTGCCTCTTTAGTTTAGTGCTGGAGCTGTAAGGCTTATGTTGCTAACAAACACTAAAAATCAAAAGTCACCCAGTTTTTTCTGTAAATACATTCCCAAAACTTTTCTCAACTTGCTCAAACCACTTCCATGTCTTTATTAAGGTTGTGCAGACTCATTCGTGTGGTTAGGAGTACTACATGATTTACTATGAGGCATAAAAATGAACAAAACTTCACAGCATGTCTCACTTTATCTGGATAGTCCACCATAGTCCCCTATAGGTTCCCTACAGATGTTCAAATTGTTAACTAACTATCTATTGAAACTCTAAACAGTGGTGGGGTTAGGTTTAGGACCTGGACCAGGGTTAGGGTCTAGGACCAGGGTGAGGGTTGGGTTTAGGTTTTGGGCTGAGGTTAAGGTTAGGGTTAGGATTAGAGCCAGGTTTAGAGTTAAAATAAATTATGGTCAGTTTAGTAGATATTTAGTTGAATGTAACTTTAAAGTAAATTAAGTATCTACAGAGCATCTAAAGTGGACCATCCAATAAGTGTTACCACTATTTTAGACAACAGGTGTTCATTTATAAAAAGAAAACAGAAATCATGAACACAGTGTGTCGTGTCAATATGCCCGCAGGACATCATACATGCAAAGGGGAGGCTACTGACCGAGGTTTTGCTCAGTTTTGCTCATCTAGTCATATTTTTAAACTACATCGAAAAGTGTCTGTGCGACATCAGTAAAGACCTGGATGCAGTTTGAGTGGGTTGAGAGACATTTTGGGGATGATTTACTGAAAAGATTTGGGTGGCTATTGACTTCTAGTGTTTGTTAGCAACATTAGCCTTGTAGCTCCAAAGAACCAAAACTGAGTTTTAGCCAATCAGCTACATCTGGGTTAAGTAGAATATTGAGCAAATTTCATTGCCTGATTGTTCCTTCGCCTGGGGAGTCTGGATACTTTTGGACATATAATGTACCACATCTGGTCTTTCTTTTCCACTCTGGTCTATGTAACGTATAGCATCTAGAATCAGTATTATTTCCATGTGTTTCAAAATAGTAATGTTTCTTCTGTAAACTTCTGTAAAGATATATTATAAAGCTATTTTGCTTTTCACCAGTATAATGGACTTAAAATGTCCATTGCAATTTCCTGCCACAATTGCAAGCATTTATACAAATGAAGAAAACAATCAGTTTTGGTAGTTATTTAGTGCAGCTGAACAAAAGTACCCCTATGAAAATGAGGTATATTGTTATGTATTCCAAAACACAAATAGAGTATATTCTAATATATTTTCAGTATATTATATTTTGTATGGGTAGGGATTTCCCCATGTTGTGAATACTGTATGGTTTATCATGATCATAATAATTTAATGACACTTGGAGTAATATTTCTATGTAAACTTTAATAAAAAATGAAAATTAAACATACTGTGTTTGGGAGGCATTTTTGGACCAGCAGGGGGCAGCATTTCCACACTCAAACCTACTGATACTTTCATAGCGTCTGTCAGGGATCCGGATACGCATATCATCTCTGTCAAGATCTGGCCTGCTTTTGCTTTTTAACCCCTCATAAGCGCCTGCTGTGTAAGTGTGTGTATATATCTACTCGCGGACGTTGCCAGATTGATATCAAACCCTCACTGTGTGACCGGTGTACACAAAGCAATGTGCTTTTTCTCATTTACTGAGCTGTGTTCTCAGCTCCTATAAAAGCTTTAAGGCTTTTCTTCCATCTCTTGCCCATATAGCGCTCAGTAGAGTGTATCTCAAGGGTGCATGTTATACAAGGCTGTAAAATTGACTGACCTGCAGACCTGTTTGTTATTCCACACGGTGGTCCGCATGTGCTATCTGTTTCCTGGCCTGCCTTTAGTTTTTAGGATCATGAATGGATAGACTACTCTTTATTTTGATAGACTGCCCAGCGGGCTGGCTTACGAGTCAGTGTCACTTACTGAGTCACTGACTGACACCCACTGTTGAAACAAGCAGCCCACTTGGTGCTATACACTGCTAAATGTCTTCCTCATGCCCTCCCAGCGCCACCATTATACAGATTAAAGGAGAAAGCTGAAACGCATTCATAGAAACATGTTATGAGTCGATGACCTAACAACGGGGGAAATAAAACAGTGTTGACTACTTTTTTTTAAGCTTCTAAGATTTTATTTGAAATGTAATGTTAGCTAGCTCAGAATTATGCTAGAGCTAGTTGCCCCATATGCTAACAGCTATTGTTTTTGTTCACATTTTACACTTGCAAAAGAAAATGTACATTTTGCTTCACTCTGCACATGATTCTGGGTAACTGTACACATTTGTGTGAGAGTATATGCGGGTAAAAATCATACAAGAGTCTCATAGATATATTACTATGCTGACAACATCCAGATCCCAGATAGCGAGCATATATTGATCCGCCGGCTTAATAAGGTCGGCACCCCACTGACTGTTTGCCGCTGCTGGTCCACACTTGGGCCACACAGATTACTGTTCTGCCTGCAAACTCTAACTAGTTTTAATCTCCTCAAACAGATTGTAAATGCACACAGACTTTTATTTTGGAAAATAAACTGAGACAAATATTACAAACAACTGAGAGAGATAAAAATGATGACTAGGCCTAATGTAAAATGATTTTATAGAAAATCCTGCTGACACTGTGCTAGATTCAATTTTTCGTACTAACCTAATTTACAAAGTATAACTAAAGAAAAGAAGGAAGGAAAAATGAAGAAATTGGGCTGTGAGGTGAAAATAAGCAATGATTAGAGGAATTTTGTCTAATACATTAAAAGATGTTTAAACACTGGTGGGGCGCCGGGAAAACGCTGAGCAAAATGCCAGTGGACCGCCAGCTTTGCCATCGCGGGGAACAGTGGTCCACTATCTTCTTTCTATCAGGGATGTTGTGTTATAATTTTGAGTCTTCATAGATCCATTCATGACAAAGCAGTACACACACCATGTCAGAATTATAAAATAAATTATCCATCAATTCCTTTAAGAACACAGACTTATCAGATACTCCTTCTTTTCCAGCGCTGGCTGACAGTTTTATAGCCTCGAACACCACCACTATGATAATAAGAGTCCCGTATAATTGTACTGTTTTAAAAAGGTAACTTGATTTACTTGAACAATTACTGAACATTCTACTACTACAGATGCAGTCAGACTGAGCAGCAGTGAAAATGTAAGCTATGTGATATTATTTTACGGTTTGTATGCTGAGTATCAAGAGCTAAGAACTTCTGCACTACAGGTTTGATACCACTTGAAAACACAAACTCCCACTCAATATGCAGAATACAGCTAAACTGAAGTAGAAAGGAGTAGAAAGAGCCTCTGTGAGCGCACCAACAATATCTGTAGCCTCAGCTTCTGAAATGACGAATAACAGTCCTGAAGTGCAAAATATCTCTAATAAATTAATTGACAGTGGATTCTGTAGCACATAGTGCAGTTTACATTCTGAAATTATTTAATATGTTTATGTAAACTGATTTTATTTATTGACATCTGTTTCAGTTTTTGCCAGTGTGTCCTGAATTTCGGTGTCAGTTTTGGTGAAAGATTTTCACTTAATTTCAATAATAATAATAGTAGTAGTAGTAGTGTAGTAGTACTTCTATTACTTATAGTGGTAGTAGTGATAAAAATAGTCATCATGTGTAGTAGTACTTGTATCAGTGATGATTGTTATGAGTAGCAGTGCTAAGAGTACAATAGATAAATTGCATAACGACAGAAAGTGGCCGATAAAATGTAGGCCTCCACCAGACATGTCAGGCAAGTAGACTAAAATCTTAACCCCTTGAATTTCACTTCTACAATCTAAGAATAGCTCTGTCAGTTTGCATTGAAGTCCCTGTAGTTACTGAATAAAAAGCCTTAGTAAGTAATAAGCCTGGGATTTTAAGGGGTTAATTTGCCATCCAGTACATAGTCTCATTTTTTCTTCTTTATATATATGGACACTTCTGTGACCGAAGCCATGCGGCTGATGGTGGTCCCACAAAACGAGCATTGCCTAGTCTTGTATCCCCTCTACAATGTTCATTTTAGCTCTTTTGAGTTGCAGTCGGAAATCTTCCTCTGTGACGCAATCAATGTTAAATAATGCAGGTTTTCTAAGTAAGTTGTCAAGATGAATTCTCACAAGTCCACGAGCCCTCTGTGTGTGTGTGTGTGTGTGTGTGTGAGAGAGAGAGAGAGAGTGCATACATGTGTTTGAACCCGGGTGTGTGTGTGTGGGTTGAACCATGTGACGCATAGTCCTCCAGAGGACTCTTGACACACACTCGCACTCGCTCTATCTACAATAAAACGTGTCTGAAAACGTGTGGGAGGCACACGGACCCAGAAAAGCGGGGACGCTCTCTTCTCTACCCCCCCCGCAGCACGCATGCGCGAGAGCACGCACTCGTATTGTAGCTTCCAGTCTGAGTTCCTCTGCCTCCAGCATCCTCATCACACTTATCATTGGAAACTTACATTCAGCCCTTTTTCTTCAAAAATTCCAGCGCAGCTCTCTGAACATTTACTGTGAGCTAATATGATTCTCATCTTACTTTCCCCTTCATTCAGCATGCAGAGGCAAACAGAAATGTTATTGCTTTCCCAATGTCCTGTTCAGTCTCTGAGGCCTTTAAGTCTATATTGTTATGCCTCCTTCAAAGCCACCAGTATTGGTAAAGCACACACGTCTTAGGCGGGGACTGAATGTAACGGAATGAGTAGTATGTGTGTGGTGAGTTTGGGTTCGTACAGGGCCAGGACAAAAAATACTGACTTTGTCCAGAAACAAACTACAGGGCCAACAGTTAGGTTTGGGTTTGACTTTGTAAAGTGAAAAAAAAAAACATATTAATCTTAGTCTTATATATAATCTTATATATAAACATATAATCTTAGTCTTAGATATATATATTATATATATATATATAATATTATTATATATATATATATTAATGTGCAAAAGTCAGAGACCACCCTATGTTTATTTCATTTCCTGTCAAA